TAGATGTATTTGTTGACCACGATATACAGTATGAATCGGATTATCTATGTATTGATAACAATTTTGTACAAAGCAATTTTCTAAATCATCAATTATATAGCGCATAGAAAAAATATGATTAATATCTTCGGAACGAAGTGTTCGATTTAGTAGAAGATAACAAAAAGAATTCCGAGTATACCATTTTAGAATATCTTGAGATTTATACGTTTGTTCAAATTCTTCACATATCTTTTTAACTGTATCAACTTGTTGCTTATGAAATACTCGTATACATTCTAACATTTCACGTCGTGCTACAGATGTATTTTTTAAACGTGGAAGAATATTGAAATAATATTTGTACCAGAGAAATTTAGCTGTATCTAAATTTAAATCATGCGATGATCGTTCAACTGGCTATAAATCGAATGCAATATACAAGCGTCGTCGTTGTTGAATGTTGATATAAATACTATCGACAAGTGATTGCATATCATCAAAGTGTTCAACATGTTCACAACGACATGAACAATCACCAACAATGATAATTCGAATAATTTGAGGAAAAATAGGATGAATAATATAACATACGATATTAGCCAAAAGAGAAGAAATAATGAGAGTTATTTTAGTATAAGTTGAAATAAGAATAAAATCAATAAAATCATCAATATCAATAAGCCAATGTTTAACATAAAGATTTAATGAAGGATTTGATCGAAAATCTCGTTGAGTAATATCAAGAACGATCGTACATTCTTCAGTCGAATGCAATTTTTGTATATTTGTGTATAGTCGATATCTCGCCATTTGCCAATCAGAATAGGAATCCAATGAACTTATGTTTCAGTCGTTTAAATCAAAAATATCAGTCAGAAATCAGAGTATCAGTTGCCCTATTAACTCAAAGTAATATGAAATCGATAAACATCGTTTACCAGACTTGACTGTAGACGTCTCAGAGAAATTTTGTAAAATCTCCATTTGAGCATAATTAAATGTAAGAGAGAGAGAGAGAGAGAGAGAGAGAGAGAGAGATTAGACACTTATACAATACTTTGGAATGAGTATTTAGAGTAAGTCAAGTTTTACACTAATATCAGAAATGTAATTGAAATATGCCAACGGATGGAATTTATTTCATCTACAACATATTTGAGAACACAGCTGTTTTACTATTCTGACAAGCACATCTTCATATCTATGATAAAATTCACTAACGAGCAAGGTTGTGTGGAATGTCGTTACCTGAATTTCGGCAATTTCCGATATATTATCCACAAAAAAAGGATTGTGGAAATTCCAGTTTACCGGAAAGAAAAGTTTTCAAGTGATTAATCGCTTTTGAGTTAGGACTGAATGACAGGCCCCGCGCGAGGGTTACAGGATGGATGGGGGGGGGGGGGGTGAAGGGACTCCAAGGTAGTCAAGATTGAGGGACACAAAATTTTTTTCGCATCAGATCTGATGTTGATCTTTCTCTGCTGACCTAAAATGTAACAATTATTCGGGAAGCGACAACTTTTTACAATCTTCTTTAAAAATTCTACTTTTTCTGGCAAATTTTTAAGAAGAGAACTCGAGTTCAATGTGACAAAATTTCTCAATACTGTCGGAAAGCGACCACTCTGGCGAAAATTGTTCTATATCAAGCTGTTTCAAAGGAAAAATTGACTAAAGTAGGAAGTTTGTCTAAGTTAACTGCACTTACACAATTGTTATCTTTCGCGAAACGAAAACATTTTTCAGGTTCATGAAAGACTCGTTTTTTTCCTTATGTTGTTCGAAAGGAAAAAGTATTGCGAGAGCTCTTAGAGATTTCGTTACTGAAAGCAGCCACGTTAGCGACGACTGTCGGAAACTGAAGCTCTTCAAAAATAAGACTGAGGTAAAATTGCATTAAAAACAAAAAAATTACAGATATTTTTAGGCCGAGTATGGTCGCGTAGTCACGTTTTCGCGAAGCGAAAAATTTAAACATTCCTTCAAAATTTTCTAGAAAAAATCTCAAAAAAATTGATCGATTTTGTTGACGACAAACGAATAATTTCTAACTATTGGAGGGGTGTACACCTCCTACACTTTCCCCAACTTTCGTGGGACCTGCTGAATGAAAAAGGTAAATGTATAAGCCGGGATGAATGTTACTTCCAACCACACCTATACCCTTCTCTAGTTCCCTATTCATTTGAACTATTGCCCAACTAGTCGTGCGTACGAGCAAAGAGTCAGGTAACTTTTTTTTTTTAATTTCGCTCTCTTTATTGTTACACTCGGAAGTGCTTACAAGAATTACCGTAAGGATTCACAACTGTTTGGTTAACACAGCCATGAGCGATATAAGCATACAGATGGAAGCACAATAGATTTATAAGATGCCACGTTAAGTTGATAAGAAGTAATGAGGAGAACAAAGGAAGGATATAAGCGAGAAGACAGAAGGAAGAAAGAGGGAGAGACGAGTACAAACGGTATTGATAAAGAAACAAAGGAGAGAGAAGTCAGGTAACTTGGCGTGACTAGCATTCGATGAATTTGAATCACAAAATCAAATCGAATAGTGTCAACGGGCATATCATAAAAGAAAAAAATAAACTGCGAACGAAAAAAGCAAATAGTGACAAAGAACACGATGAAGAAAAAAATTCTCAGAGAGAAGTGCAGAACGTGGATAAAAGTGAGCGCGCGAAAGGTGCACAGAATATATACAGAAAGAAAGGCAGAAATAAATTCAGTCTGATTTGAAAAGAAGAAGGTGTTAAAAAAAA